AGGTTTTGTTTCCTCGGCGGGGGTTAGGGGGCGGCAGCCCCCCCCCCCCAGGGGAGTTCACAGGGGGCGCAGCCCCCTGCAATGGAAAGTTATGTGAATAACCATGGTTATTATGGAAAGTTATGTGAATAACCATGGTTATTTTCACTGTGCGTTATATTATTAGTGCTATTTAAACCCGCATTTTCCCTGGAACCTTTCATGCCCTCCCCTGCTATCGGGGCCAAGTTTGTCGCTAAGGGGGGTTAGCGCGCAATAAAACTATATATTTGCAATGTGGAGAGTGAGAGGAATCCAACGATACCAAAATCGTCGATATCGGTCATGCGGACGTAATATAGAAAATTACCATAACAATAATGATAACAACAACCATAATAATGATAATGATTATTGATATATTAGTAATATCAATACTACTACTACTACTAATGGCAATGAAGATGTTAGATCGAATAATGATGATAGTAAAAGTGCAAAATTATATTGATAAACCGCATTCATGTAGACAAATATACCCACCTTACACCAACCGCATCCTCGGCAGCGCCCAGCAGTCCGCAAGAAGCTGACGCCCGCGACCGAGGCAGCTGCTCAACCTCTGTCCCCTGTGGCAATTGTGGCGATTCTTCCTGCGGCGGCTGCACGCTGCACAGGCGCCTGGACGCCGTTGCCATTCAGGCGCCGGATACATTCAATCCTGTTTGAATGTAGGACCAGTGTCTTCTGGATGTGTTTTTTGTGTGTAATATGCTTGTGATTCACGTTGACACTCATATGAGGGCTACCAAATATAAATACAGCACAGTCTACATACATACAATACATCCTAAAATAGATATCCACATAAACCACTGCATGTTTGTGTGCGTCTTTCTACTTGTTCTTACCTGGTTGTTTCAATACGGGAGAAGAACTAGGCTCAGGTGGTCCAGTCTGTTTGTTTGTGTGTTTGTGCATCTCACGAAAACTACTTAATTTGCATCCCAATATATTCAAATAGGTAAACGCATTAAATACGACGTCAACGGAGAAATACTTTCATACGAGACGTAGGATGAACATATTACATTCTACATCAAATACTGTTCTAAACTCTGGATCAATAAAACGGAAATAAAAGTGAAGTGAATCATTTTCCTTTCATAACAAGCGCAACCCCCCCACACATATAAATAAATAAATAAATAAATAAATAAATTTATATATATGTTTGTATATATTCATATATATACATATATATATGTATGTATGTATGTATATATAGGATACACACACACACACATACACACACACACACACACACANGTGTGTGTGTGTGTGTGTGTGTGTGTGTGTGTGTGTGTGTAATATATATATATATATACTGCATATATTATAAATATATTCATATACATATGTATGTAATATATATGTATATAATACTGTATTGATATATATATATATATATATATATATATATATATATATATATATATGTATACACACACAACACACACACACACACACACACACACACACACACACACACACACACACACACATGTAACACACGCATATATACATAAGTATGTATATATACATACATACATACATATTATAATATATATAATATATACATATATACATGCATATATATATATATATATATATATATATATATATATATATATATAGAGAGAGAGAGAGAGAGAGAGAGAGAGAGAGAGAGAGAGAGAGAGAGAGAGAGAGAGAGAGAGAGAGAGAGAGAGAGAGAGAGAGAGATCGGTCAGCGAGCGAGGAAGAGAGAGACAGGAGGAACTCATGATGACTTCATTGGATTCAATCCTCTTGTGATCATAGGGCCAAGACCGCAGACAAGCAATGGGTTGGTCTTTTAGCTGAAAGGGGGTTTGCTACAGGAGAAGGGAGTGAAAAATGAATCTTTTTTTCATATTTTTTTCCTGAACTGAACCACTGCATACCCCGTGGACCACATTACCCTTACACACATAATGGGTCCCTAGGCAAACCAGACAATATCATTATTTTTGGTAAAAAAAAAAAAAAAAAAATATCAATTTTGTTATTCTGTAATTGGGGCTCTGAACTGTAAAGTCATATGCATTACAATGGCTGAATATATATGGGTAAAAGAAAGGGATGACCACTCACGCATCTAATTGAGCAGTTTTCATTGAACAATTGAATCAGGCTAGTCGTTGTGACCCTTTGACGTCGTTTCCACCATCCCTGCTGGACTGCTACATTAAAGAAAATAATAATAATGGACTATGGCTGACAAAATTAACTAAAAACCTGCAAATTTAAGACACTGATGATGGTAGTGGATAACTAGTGGACTGCACTGCAGTCACTGCAGTCAGAGGGAAGGGGTCCTGCCTACCACAGGAGTATGTTTTGGCAGAAGCACGATCACAACCCGTATTGGTATTAAAAAAAGAAAAAAAGAAAATTCATAGTCGTATGATTTTTTTACAAAGACTGACTCAGAGACTGGATCATAGATAATAATAATTATCAGTGTATTGTCGGCATTGGAAAGCTGTGTGTAATAAACCCTAAACATCTTGTGTAAAGTGACCATACGTCCTTAATCATAATTCAAATTTCCTCAGTTTTGATAGCAGGCGAGTAATAACGTAAGTTGTGATCTTGGCGGAAGTGAACTAATTTGGGGATTGGGTAGCAGTCTGCGGCGAGCAAACTTCCCGGCGCACATGGAGGTTAGCGGTGTAACACGTTCTTTGAATGGCAGTTTGTTATAAAAAATAAGCACCAGTATGCTTATGCATGGCCCGTATTTGAGAACTTTTGCCTCTAACTTTATTCTCCGAAAGTTTTGCGGTGTGGAAAGTCGAGATATTGTCTCTCTTTTTCTATTTTTATTTCTACTGGGCATCATCACCTATACTTCATCCCTGGTCGTTTTTCTCGCATTTACCATGTATTATATAGGCTTATACGCCTGTGGCAGGTAACGTGTGCTTGCCTGGCGTTTCATTGGAATTTTATTAGCATTCGTCTCCTAACCCTTGTATGGCCCAGACCAAAGTTTCTCTCTCTCTCTCTCTCTCTCTCTCTCTCTCTCTCTCTCTCTCTCTCTCTCTCTCTCTCTCTCTCTCTCTCTCTCTCTCTGCAGAGAAACACCTCACACTGACGGCGAGATTTTCTTCACAGGTGATGCTGAATGGCTTGGCCTTCTCTCGGCCCTTCCGCCGCCGGCGCGTCCCGGGTCTCGTGGAATGGGCGCAGAGGAAACTCGAGCAGTTTATGGCTCTTGCATTTGCAAGGAAGCATTTATCATATCTCACCTTACGTTTCCAGTTGTATATCTGAATAACTGTTATGTTCTTTTATCATCCATGCTTCATTTAGCAATTAATATACGAAATAACACACACACACACACACACAGTGCCTCACTCTGTCTCTCACACACATACACACTGCCTCACTCACTCTCTCTCTCACACATACTCTCTCTCACTCACTCACTCACTCACTCACTCACTCACTCACTCACTCACTCACTCACTCACTCACACACACCACACACACACACACACACTCACACACTCACACTCACACACACCACACTCTCTCTCTCTCACACACACACACACACTCACTGCCTCACTCACTCACACCTCTCTCTCACTCTCTCTCTCTCCTCTCTCTCTCTCTCTCTCTCTCTTCTCTCTCTTCTCTCTCTCTCTCTCTCTCTCTCAAACACACTCTCTCTCTCTGTCTCTGTCACACACACACACACACACACACACACACACACACACACACACACACACACACACACACACACACACACACACACACACACACACACACTGCCTCACTCACATACAAATATATGTATATATAAATTGCCATTTCACTGAGTATCTTTGTCATTCATAGCTTTTCGAAACCTATCATTGCAAAAATGCAAGCAGAAGTTGCACATGGAAAAATATCTTTTAACCTTACGTATTTACAAATTTCAAGTATATATAACACATACGTACACGTAAAGGCGCTTTCACATCAAGGTGAAAACGAATGTACGGAAACATATGAAACTTTTCACAAAAAAGGCGTATTTGTCACGTGTGATCCTGCATGCCATGCCTTTTTTTCTAGTTTTTAGTTGTTGATCTGTTACTTCGGGCAGTGTTGTCAGATTTTATTAGAGCTTTCACATCCAAAGTTATTATTATACAGGTTAATATAAAAATGTTAAATTCATATAACATATATAAAAAGGAAATCTTTTAGAGGTATGGCATTCATAGAGTAGTGACATATAGATAACTGTCACAAGATCTCTTAGATCTTGGGGCAATAACATTGTCATCCCCCTATGATGCCATCTTGTGAACCAATTGACACGTACCTTGGCCCGAAATCACTGTGGCATGTGCCACTTGCCACATGCGATGTGCCACCCACTTACCATTTGCCAACCACGCGGCAAATGGTAAGTGTCACGTGATACGTGACAAGGTGATTTCAGACCAAGGTTCCATGTGGCTCATATCATTCAGTTGACAAGATGATATCATCGGAGTACGACGATGCCATCGTTGTAATCTTGTGACAATTATCAACCTGTTAGTTGGAGAAATGAAGTGGAGGACTTCGGGGTAAAAAGTGAGTTAAAATTGTTCCAATACCCTGAAAATACTTGTGTTTTTTCTCACAAATTAGTCTGGTAATTCTTCCATGGATAGTCTTGTTATTGTACTGAGGTAATGTTGCATCATACAAATATTTGTATTTCTCAACAGCTTGTACATATGGTATGTTGATTGGTCCATTGTCTGGAAGAGGCATAGTTGTGCATGGGAAGAGGCACACATCGCATTTCAAGTATATACAAAACACATACGTATATGTAAAGGCGCTTTCACACCAAGGTGAAAACAAACATTCGGAAACATGAAACCTTCCACATAAAAGTGGCGTGACACGTCGCATTTGCCACTGGAACCTGCTTGCCGTGCCAATATTTTTTTTTTTTTTTTTTTATTTTTAGCATTTGACCTGCTACCTCTGACAATGTTGTCATTATTTTAATGGAACTTTTACATCCAAATGTGCTATTAGCCTGTTTAAAATGAAAATGTAAAAGTCAAATATATAGAAAAAGGAAAACTTTTCGATGTATGGCATAAGTAGTTTTGGAGTCTAGAAAGATTCCGCCAAACACATTTGACAACATTCCTTTGGCCGCCCAGTGAGTGAGGCTTTAGATGAGAGGGTAATCACGTGCTCTCTTGTTGGAGGAAACAATGCGATGTGTGATTGCTCTCGTGCACAAGTAAGCCTCTTCCAGGCAAATGAACCAATCAAAATAACATTTGTACAATCTGTGGCGAAATACAGATATTTATGATACATCACCTCAGTACAATAATAATAATTCCCATGGCAAAATAATCGAAATACGTAGTTTGTGAGAAAAAAATCCTTACAAATATTTCCAGGTTATTGGAAAAAAGTTTGTCTCACATTCTGCCCCGAAGTTCTCCACTTTATTCCTCCTAGTGACAGATGGATAACCAGACGAAATAGGACTTTTGACAACAATAACATCGTCATCCTCCAATGATACCATCTTGTGAACCAGATAATAGCGGCATGACACGCACCACGTGATACCTTGGTAGGAAAGCACTGTCACATGTTACTTGCCACCTGCCATTTGAGGAATAACGGACAAATCGAATCTCGGAGTCCCACGCGACGCGCCACACCATTTCTGTGAAAGGTTTCATATACTTCCGGATGTTCGTTTCCAAATGGCATGTCGCGTGCCATGCCACGTGTGAAAGTGGCCTATGTGTCCAGTCATCCCCCACAGAAGGGGAGACTCGATCAAGAGTGAAAAACAAACCCTTTTGGACAGGAATTTCGAGATGGCTATGCGATTCAGCAGATGGCAAACTGCGTGCTCTTGGGCAGTTTGGCGCTGAGTTTCGGAGTGCAAGCGCTTTTAATTTATATATACAATGACGATGTAGGGCATGATGTTTTGTTATTGACGTCATTGCGTGTTTGTATCACACCACTGTTTCACTTACATCACTGGCGCATGCAAACACACACACACACACACACACACACACAG